TGTGCAGGCCCTGCCCTCCCTTCCTCCTCCTCACAGCGCAAAAGAGCTGTTTCCCCCCCACCCCCGAGCACCATCATCACCTCCCTCACAACCCTCTCTCCTTGCCGCAGGACCTGGCAGTCACAGAGGAGAAAGAGCCACCCCCGGACTGTCCCCTGGACAGCCAGCAGCTGGGCCGCAGCACCTGGGCCTTCCTGCACACCATGGCCGCCTACTACCCCGACCGCCCCACCGGCGCCCAGCAGCGGGAGATGAGGGACTTCATCAACCTCTTCTCCAAGTTCTACCCCTGCGAGCACTGCGCCGAGGATCTGAGGGAAAGGTGAGTTGCTTCCTTGTTTTTCCGGGGTGTTTTGGGGGTTGTTTGTTTGGGTTTTTTTGCCAGCCCAAAACGCTGGGCTGCAGCAGGTGTTTGCATATCAGCAGCTCTTCCTGCAGCTGGGGTTGGTAGCCACCTGAACTGATTTCTTACATGATTGAGTAAATCAGATGTTGACTTGGAAAACAAATAACCTTTTCTCGTGCTGTTAGGCTGCGTGCTGCCTCCAAGGCATGTTTGAGGCGATTTCAGGATTTTCTGGTTCAAACTGGGCTTACACTCAGTTGTGTAATTAGACTGGGTTTTGAAGTAATTTGGCTTTCAGGAGGCAAGTGCTTTTCTATCCAGAAAACTCCCTTTATAGGCAACCTCAGCAGTGAAGGCAAAGACCAAAATGGGCTGTGATGTTTGATCCAGTTTTCTACTCCTCTTACTCTCAGCCTGTATCTCTAAAGTTTCAACTCCTCTTTTCTGGACGATGAACATGCAAAAAAAAGGTCTGAAGTGTAATTATTGACTGAGGAGACATCACATGGCAAAGCAACTACTCTGTTTTTTTATTTTTCTTTTTTTTATGAGTGTTTTGATGAATTCAAGCACTTCTTGCATTTTATCATAGATGAGCTGCTCGACTCCTGTGTCTTTTCCAGTTGACACTATTATAGTGGAGGTTTGGCCTCTGATAATTACTAATTTCTGTGTGTTCTCTTTGGGATTCATTCTGCAATAGCAGAAGAGGTGACTGGCTGGCTGCTCTGGGCCTTCTTCAGATATTGAAGCTGGTGGCTGTAAAGAAGTAATATTTCTTTCCTCTTCCCTGTTTGCAGATTGCGTACAAATCAGCCTGACACTAGCAACAGAAATAACTTCTCCCAGTGGCTGTGTCTTCTTCATAATGAAGTGAACAGGAAACTGGGGAAATCGGAATTTGACTGCTCGCGGGTGGACGAGCGCTGGCGGGATGGTTGGAAGGATGGTAGTTGTGGTTAATCCCTAGAGACTGCTTTGGAAACGGGACAGACCAACTCAACCTGGTGTTGAGTCGCTGCAGGGAGCTGTGGGAGTCAGTGGCTCTGTGTGTGTGTACCTGCTCGTGTGTGTGACTGAGACAGCTTGTGGAAATAAAGGTAAACCAATTTTGAGAGTCAATTTGAAAATCTTATCCTAACAGTATTTTGAGAAATTACTATGTAAATGTATTACCTGAGGGATCGTGGCCTTACATTTAAGACAGGAATTGCCAGAAGCCTGTGGAATTAAGTCACTGATGAACTCATGGAGTCTTTTTCATTGTGACATTTCCTTATATTAGGGGTATTTGCTGACTTCTCTGACTAGAATTCCCTTTCCCTGAACACAGCTGTGGAGGGCTGTGCTGTGGAATTTTACGTTTATCTACAGGCATTATGCTGATGTTTTAGAAAATACATGTGATCAGTTGTCATTTTCATTTCTGTTCTTATTGAGCAAATTCATGCTCAGCTTTGTGCCACCAGGTCTGTACCCTGGGATCTTCAGTGCTTGTTACTGAACTTGGATTCAGTTCCTTTGATAAAAGGCCTGAAAGCTGGTACATTTAATTTAAATACCACAAAAATGGATCCCAGATTTCTCATTCTTTCAATGTATCATGTAAGAGGACATTGCAGAAGGCAAACTAAAGCAGGACAAAAAACCCCCACTCATCTAATGAAGTGAATGAGTTATCAACTCAAATGTTTTAAATGGATTGCTAATTTTCTTTGGATCCAGATGTGGTATGATGATAAGTTTTACTCAAGTGCTTTTCTTAAAGCAGATAACCTCTTCATCTCTGCCATGAACTTTTGTCAGTTGTGAAAATAGCTTGAGACTGATGTGTGTAATGAAGCATGTTCAGATTTGTTTGGCATCCAGTATTCCTGAGATGTCACTTGTGCTTTGATATTCTTGATTGGTACTTGCTGACCTCATTGCTACTCTAGTGTTATCCCTTAGCTAAAATTCTTTAGAACAAGAGGACTTTACAAGCCCCCTGCACTACTGGAGCCCTGCTTCAGGCTGTGATGTCACCTTGACATAGTATTTATTTCTCAGGGGACTCAAACTGGTCCCTGGGGTGGATTCTCTCTGTAGAGCTGTTCAGAATCCACACTGTGTGTATGTTTCCTAAGTCACCTCTACTGCATCAGTGTAGTGATAGTTAAATGTGAATTCCAGATTCAAGTGAAACAGCAGCATCAATGACTTATGCCACAGTTCATATAAATGTGTCTCTTTATCAAAAAAGACAGCTTACAAAAAATAAAGTCAAAATAATTTCAAGCTCTTAGAGCAGATGGTGACATCTTGCCCTGATTGCATTCCTGGCTGTGAGAAGTTTGCAGGCATTTGCACAAACCATGACAGCAGTCAGCTCTGTCCTTCTGTACTTCCTGTTCAGGCCATCTTACCTGTGTTAGTGAGCTTCCTTATTTCATGCACTACAGTAAATTTACTCTGACAGAGTGCTGCCTGGAAATGTTAATGGTACTTCTAGAATAGTATTAGTTATGACAGCTCATAATGAGGAACTTTGATCTTCAAACCCACATGCATGGGGCTCCTCAGTGTTTAGAAAAGCAATAGGAAATGCATTTTAATGTTTTATGGTGTGCCCAAGTTCTTTCAAGCTGGACCTGTTAAAACAGGATGAGATAAATTTTATGGGCTGGTTATTCATGAAGTTTTTTATGTACTAATGTTCCTAAACAAACCCAACAAGACAAGGTATTTCATGAAGTGTGCAATCTGACTTGTGACTTGAAGGTATTGTTCAGGTTATTAAAAGTGCTCAGAAAACTTTCCTATGAGCAGTTTGAGGTTTGCAGAACAAATCTACAACCAATAAATTCCATTTATGTTTTTTTTTGTTTTGTTTGTTTGTTTTTTAATTAACTCCGTGCCCCAGGTGAAGCACACTAGTATCCATCAGTGGGGAGAGGACCAAGAAAAGGCTGTAGCCTTCCCCTTGTGCCAGGCAGGAGCTAGATGCCCCAGCTATGTCAGGGTAGCTTTAGCAGCTGGGGGTGTGGACAGGCAATTTCTTCTGGACTTGGTTGTGCTAAAGGATTTTGCTGTTCTTCCTTTACAACCTGCCCTCGAGTGTTCTCTGTGACAGTGTCATTGCCTATGGAGCAGATAAGAAGTTTTCTTCCCAATTTGCCTTAACATAAATGAGCAGGTTGGTAAAACACCCATCTTGTCCCTGCTCATCTGAACACTGAGAATGCTCCAGGGTGGTGTGTTGGGCACCTGGGAACTGTTGCTGGCTGGGGATGGGCAGGTGTGTGGTGACCTTCCTGCTCCCTCCTGCAGCATCTCCCCACATCTGAAGAGTGTGGAGACAAAAATAAACGTGCAGAAGGAAAAGCCCCTTCTGCCAGTGTGTTATGCTGTGTCCTGGCAGTGAGGAAGGGGTAGGGGGAGAGCCCTAAAGCTGAAGCCAGTGTCTTTAGCAAATGCTTCCAAATCCTGAGGCCACCAGCTGTGGCTGCTGGGATGTTATCAGGGCAGTTAGTAGCTTTGCTAAGTGGCCAGTTGGTAAACTCTGTACTTGAAGTTTGCTCTCACGTTTATGGCTTTGGAGAACAGCTTTGACTTAGATGTTTCTTGAGCGTATTGTAATCTCTCTGAACTTAACTGTGTGTGGGGGAGATTTTTGTGCTGCTCATTTGTACCATGTCTCAAGTTTTAATCTTACGTAAGGAATTTCTATATAAGATATTTGTATTTGTGTACAGAAAATTTAATCCTCTTCTAAATGCACTTGATTAAATCTAGTTTTAAAAGTATCTGTATTCAAATTACATTTCCTGTTGATGTGAAAAAAATAAAGCAGCTGAATTCATGCCTGGCTTCCCTACTGCATGAGACCTTAGGAAGAAGCATCCCATTGTGCATGGCCATGCCCAGTGCCAGTAACCTTCCTGTGCCAGTGTCACTGCCTGGGGTTGTGGTTCTGTGTGTTGGCCAGACAAGCTGGGACTGCAACTGGTCTTTTGTGCTGCTCAATTGCTGCAATTCTCTGTGGCCCACGAAGCTACAAAGCTGCAGCGATGTACATCAGGCCCTTCCCCATCAGAGCAGAATGTGTTTTCAAGTGGGGATATTTTATGGGGTTCAGGTGTGGGTTTTTTGCTGTCTGATCCTAGTAGCATGAGGTATTGCAGCTGGGAGGAGCTCCAAGCTCTGAACCTGAGTGGGATGGCAGAGGGGGGTGTTACCCCCTGAGGGGGAGTGTTTGTTAACTACACGTTCACCACACAACCATGCACATCCCATCGGGTTTGTCAGAGGGAAACTGCTTCCTCCAGACGAGGAGCCCTTGGAAGACGCAGCACCATCAGGAGCAGGTGCTGCCTAAGGAGCTGGTGGGATCTTACTCCTGCAGCACCTGGCTAACCTATCAGCTTCACAAAGGGCTTTCTGTTCTCAGGGACTGGTTTGCATTCATAGCTGTAATTTTTTCCCCTTCTTTCCCTCTCCCCCCGCCCGAAAGCAAAGAGCAGTGAGCCACGAGGGAATTGCCTGCTGCATCCACGAGAGGCAGAGTTGCCTGAACATGTAACAAGTGCAGATGGTGACGGAAGCTCCATTATGCCTTTAACATTTTTCCAAGGATTAGCTGTTCCTTTTCGGTGTGTTGGGTGTATTCAGTCTCCTGTTGACAGGAAGATTCCCAAGAGCCTCTTTGCTTGTGTGTGTCTTTTGCTCCAGCCTGTTACAGGCAGTGTGTGATATTTCTTCCTGTTGGAGTTTTACAGGTTTGGAGAGGGAGGGGTTAGATTTTGCTTTGGTATTTTCACCCCTTCCTATAACATTGATAATTTTTTTTATGTTTTCCTGGAATGGCTGTTCAGGTTTTTTATTTGCATGATGGAGAGGAGTTGCCCAGTACTTTGTGCAGGAATAAGCGCTTCAGTAGAAACTGCCAACAAGGTTGTGTGGTCAGCTCTTGATTTTGTAGGCTAACAGGAAATGTGATAAAGCAAGTAAAGCAAAACTACAGCTAATAACATGTAGGCAAATCAGGAGTTAGGATGTAGAAGACAGTCTGGGAGGCCAGGAGTCAGCTGGAGCAGTGCTCTGGGCTGGGTGTCCCACAAGGATGTGCCCATGAACACTGTGTGATGCTTCTGGGCTGGCTGGCTCAGCTGGCCAGGGGGTCTGCACTGATGCATAGTCAGCTCACAGCTGAGGGATGGTGATAGTTGGCATCTGCTGCACGTCAGGAAACTTGCCACAGCTCCTGAAACTCTGGAGCAAATGTTGGTTCCTACCTACTAAGGATAAATGAAACTCAGTACCCTGATCTCTGTTGACCCCAGGGTGTCTTATGGCTCTCAGTCTGTTGGTTTTGTAATTATTCTTAATGCTTCCAGAAAGGTGCAACAGCAGCATTAGCATTTGCCAAGCTTTGAAACCATGCTGTTCCCCCTGGTGTGTGACAACCCTGTCTGTGCATGCTGGGTTGGTTAAGGGAGCTAATTCATCCTAGGTTACACCAGTGTTTGGGCTTACAGCATCTGGCATGGGGTGGCACAGACAGTGGTCCTGGTCCTCAGGCCTGGCAACCTCTGCTCCCCCAGGAAAACTGCTCCTTTGCCTTGTGCTAGAGCAGGCTGCTGCCTTTCCTTTCGAGCGCTCCCAATGCAGACACCTCTTCCTGCTCCGAGGTTTTCCCTCCTATATGTCATCTGCAGTCACGCTGCTTGACTTGTGCTGTCTCTTGCTGCAATGAGCTTCAGAGCTGTGAAGCCACGGGGAAAATTTGCGTTGCACCTCAAACAAGCCAACGGTAGAGGGCAACACAGCGCGTATTTCAGTGACTTTGTCTCCTACAGCTCTGGAATAGCAAACTGCTCCAGATATCCAGTGTTTCACCTCATGCTAGTTCCTTTCCTGAGGTTTTGGTGCCTTCAGTTACTTTTCAAACTAGCGTACAATACTTCTTGTACAATTACCTAAATAAGGGATGTGTTATTTCTCTGCCTGCAGCTAAAATCTGCCCTTGGAAGTATAATAAAACACCCTCAGGATGCTATTTCCAGTGTGTTTCCTACCTGATCTTCAGCCCACAGCTCGTCATACATGCAGAAGTTCTGATTTTTTTTGTCAGGTCACTAACAGGTTGGAAAGGGTGAATTAATGATACCTGATAATTTTGTAACCAACACTTTCTTACACAGAGCACTGTGTGTGTACACAGGGCATTGCTTGCTTGTAGGCAAGTGCTTTCAGATTGGGCAGCCTTTGGAGGTCCTCATGGTAGTAGGGGCTGTGTTGGGTCAGATCACAGAATTGTAGATTTATTTTTTTTTGGATGGAGAAGACCTTTAAATTCATCAAGTCCAGCTGTACATATCTGTATAGACCAGACATAGGCAGGGAAAAGGGTGCACAGCAGTCATGGGACAGGCATCATGTTTAGTCAAAGAAGGGATCAAACTTATTTGACATGGTTGTCATCTTCTCTGGATGCTTTATGGAGGAAAAAAAGGACTTGGAAGGAAGGTGACAGGACAGTCATGACTGGAGTAAAGCTGTTCCTGTTGAGGCACAGGGATGCAACCCAGCCTTCCTGCAGGGGAAGGGGTAGGAAGAAACTCCCCAGTTTCATGGGAGTTTTGTTTTAAATTAGCAGGTATGTAAGAAGGAAAACAGCTGAGTTAAATTAACGTCTTGCCCACTGCAGACACCAGGCAGCTATTTCATACAGTCCCTCAAAGATTCCATTTCTTGAGAACACCAAGCTTTAGGTCTAAACTCAAGTCCCAGTACTGGATGGAGACTTACCTACAGTTAGGCAAAACTGGGCTTTTCCTGCTGCTTCTATGCTTGACATCTGGCCCAAGCTACCAGTAGTGGAAAAAAGTGCTTCATGGAGATTCGCAAAGTATGTAAGACAAGGGCTGTATGGCTAGAGCACATGGCTGGAGGCTAAAGAGACTAAAATTCAGTTCTTAGTCAGAAGCTTCTTGCTGGCTTCCAGGTAAGTCACTTCATCTTTTGCAGCCACACTTCCCCTTCTGCAAAAGGGGGGATTAAAACTGGTTTCAGCAGCCTTGGCCTGTGTTTCCTATTTAGATGACAGTCTCTTTCAGGGAGGTTATTTTAGTGCATTTGTACTGCACAGTCTTGGGCTTGAGGTTGTTCTCTGTAATAAAATCACTCATCTCAATCTGTCCCACAAGTCTCCTTTACATCAGGTCACATCTTCCTTTTGAATCCAAGCACCTGTTTAGCATTTGCTGTGTTCTGTTAAGAAACCAAGTGTTCAGTGTTTTCAGGCTACCTCTGCTAACACCACATGCATTACACAAATGTAGCCCTTTTTCCCCCAAGAACTTGTGCTGTGAGTCCTGCTTTGTGGTGTAACATGAGCAGAAATGATCATAACAAAAGGACTGAGCTGGGAGAGCCCCTCTGGCAGCAAAGGTTGCTGCGGCTCAGTGAGAGCTGCGGAAGCTCTGTGTGTCTGAGCACTGCTGGAGCTGTCAGCTCTGCTCACATTACCACACCTGCTGAGCTGCAGCACCAAGCAGGGAGCAGATGATGAGCACCAAAGTCAACTTGTTGGTCAGGCCCTGCATGATGGGACTTGCTGTCATGGTCTGAAGGAGGTCAGCTTAGAAAATGGTTCAGGATCTTATTTCCCTTTTGTCGAGCTCATCCCCAGGTGCTGAGCACCTTCATGCAGCAGAGTTCCACCCAGTGACTGAATCAAGTTAGATTACTGGTTTGCCAAAACCCCCAAACTTTTTGTGTGGTGCAATATATTGATAAGAAACAAAGTACACATTCACCAGATGAAATGTCAAGCCTGTAATTGCACCACTGGAGAGTATTTTGAAACCCTTAGCGGTTTTGGTCAGTTAGGTTTTTATGCAAGTACTGAGATATTAACTCTTCTGTTTAAATAAATGCTATCCTCAACGAGTTCTGTATGCAAACCTTGCCCTGGCAATTTCAGTCAGTAAAGTTTTCTGCCTGTTTTTTATGGCACAATTATCTTGTGTTTCTACTTGCACAGTAACTGCTGAGTCCCACCTGAAAAACGGCTGCAGTTCAGCAGTAGATAAGTAACCAGCTAATAAATGATCTTCCAGGCATTTTGGGCTCTCTAAGGTTGGAGTGCATTAAGTAGATCTGCACACTAAGGTATTGGTAATCAGGAAGTCCCTTTCTCTCTGCTAATGGACACTGAATTTCTAAGCAACTCTCAATATTTCCATCAACTGTCTACTTTTCTAGAGACTGCTGGCTGAAAGCAGTATCAGCCAAACTCTAATGAGTGTCCAGCAAGGCGCTGCAGAGGAGCAAGTGAATGAGCATCTTTCAAAGTCCTGCTTCAAGGGTGCTGCCCAGGGAATGTGGTGGCCAAGCTGTTCCACCTCCCACGCACGTGCAGAGGACGGGGTCAGACCCCGCGTGGCAGCCGAGGTGACTCGGCTGGACACAAGTGGCCACAGCCAGGCTGGCTCCCAGCCCTCTGCCACAGGGAGCCTGTGTTCTGCTTGTGTGGGTTGCTCAGCTGAGGCAGCCTCACTATAAATACATTGTCAAAGCTGTTCTGAGAGCTGGGCAGTTTCACATCGTTATTTTATTTTAGAGCTGTTAAGCAGAAAGTGTGACTGGTTGTTTTGCCAAGTCGGGAGCATCCCACCCCTGCCCTCTGCCACAGAGGGTGCTCCCACTAAAGAAATCATATTAACTCCTCTTTCCTGGCCTTCCTATGGACCAGGTCCCATCCCTGCCATTGTAGTGCCTGGACTGGGAAGCAGAAGGTGACAGGCTTAGCCAGCTCCTTGGAAATTTTTGCAGATATGTTCTGCTTTGTGGAGTCACACTAGCATGGCTTGCAGTCCTTCAGCTGGCAGGAGGTAACTTGGTAGGCTTTCAGAGATTGGTTCTGTTCAGCCATGAGCCCCTGGGAAACAGCACCACTGCTCTGTGGAGCTGCTGGAATTGACCCTCAGCTGGGCGGGTAGGGCTGACTCAAACTGGCTTTGAGCAAAGAGAAAGCCCCACATGTTGTCTCCTCGAGGTTGTCATGTCCACGTGCTTACCCCTGAGTGAAAAACCTCATCGCTTCTGTGTGTTGAAGGCAAACGTGAAGAAGTTGGTGTGACTACAGGTGGCAAGAGGCAAGCCCATGTTTTGCACTGCCTTTAATTAAACCCACATAAAATCCAGACACAAGCAGATTTCAGGCACATGTCTGCATGCCAGCCTCTTTGTTCCAGGGGGAATGGTAGATGCAGGTAAAACTTGTTCAAACTGAACAAAAGCTCTGGAACGTGCCATTTCTAACTGCTGTTCTTTTCCCATATTTGATGGGGGGTGGGGGAAATGTTCAAGATGCAATCTCCTTTCCTCCTTTATTGGCTGGCTCTGTGTGTGAGCTCATTTGCAGTAATAGGAAGTGAAATCAAGATATGGTTTGCATGTCAGCTAGAAACAGCTGCCCTGCTCTCTCTGCACTGGGGCAGGGGACAAAAGTGAGCAAAATATGACATGGAAAATTATTGTATAAACATACTGTACGCAGCAGAAGTTGGAGAGATGAATCTCAAAGAAAGAAGATGCGTTTGGAAGCAGGAATTTTGGTGGGGATCTTGCCTAGTGCATCACAGTCATGTTCTGAAGGGTATGGACCATGTATCTGCTTGGTTAGGATTTGTTCTACAGGGGCAGCTGAAAGATTCAGGCAGTACTTTGGTCCCTTGTGCTTTATGTGGCCTGAAATACACCACATGAGCTGGGCAAGACATTTTATAAGAAGGGAGCAGAGGCCCAGGACGATTTAAGTGTCTTTTCCAACACCACCAGAAACCCCAGAGCAGACCCCAGAGGTCTGGAGGATTCCCTGTGTGGTACCATTCCCTTGTCTCCATCCGTATCTGTGATGGATACAGGCTGCTTTGTTCTCAAAGCATGAAAACAATTTGTCCAGGCACTGGAATGGCTGCTTCTAAACTGCTGAAGCTGTTTAAAAATTCTCACCTATGGTGACCCCTTCAAGTAAATATGGTCTTTGCTCTTAATCTGCAGTTCAGGGCTGAGCTGGCGATGCTCTTGACACTGGTGTGCAATCCCTGGCCAGCCCCATGGGACATCCTGCCAGAAGAAAAAGGGAGGGACCAACCTGGCATCCTTTTTGTAGCCTTTTAAATTTTTTTTTTTAATTTTCTTAGCATAGTAAAATGTGATTTCTACTGGGCTAAGGAGTGAAAGGCTGAATTCTGCCTTTTCTGCTGCGAGTCAGAAATAGATCTGGGGCGATGATGACTCACCTGTAATTGAGAAAAACTGAATGGCATCATCATGAGCTTCAACAGTTAAATCCTGATTCCCTCTGCCAGAAAGCACAGCCTGGCAATGCTGGGAAAGGCCAAAGCCATCCGGGGCCCGGCCACAGGAACCCTTGGCTTTGTCACAGCCTTTGGCATGGCAGGGGCTGCACCCCAACCCCTGCTGCACCCCCACCCCTGCCCCCCACAGCAATGGTCCTGCACAGAGACATGGAGCTGTGGGGACAGCAGGGCAAGAGGAGGGCTGGGGGGAGCAGGAGAAGCCCCCCAGCCCCACTCTGTGCCAGCAGGGCATGCCTGCTCCTCCCTGCCCCTTTCCCTGCAGTTCCCATCCCAAGCAGAGATGATGTCAGAGTTGTCATGGCATCGGTATCTATGGAACCGGGATCAGCATCACTGCTACCAAACTAACTCAGGAGATGGGCCTGGAGCTGTGGGGGGGAACTCCCTTTGCAGTAATTGGGGGTTTCCCTCGGTAAGGTTCCTCTTGTTTTCCTTCTTCCTGCTGTGCCTGGGGAGGGAGCAGGGACAGGGCTTGGCCTCCTCCTGTCCCACAGCAGCTCTGGGTGCTGGGGGCCAGAGCTTCAGCCCCATCAGCCTGCACTTCTCTTGTCTGTGCCAGCAGATGGGTGTGTGACAGTGTACCTTGTGGTGACACAGCCACCAGACCCGCCACCTGCCATCCCAGTGGGCTGCTGGAGGTGACAGGTGGGACACCAGCAGAGCTGGGCACAGAAAAGGCGTTCATCTTTGGGAAAGATGCCCCTTTCATAGAAGGGTGTGGAGTGATAGGATGAGGTGAAACAGTTTCAAGCTGAGAGAGGGGAGGTTGAGATATGAGGCTGAAATTCTTTGCTGTGAGGGTGGTGAGAGCCTGGCCCAGGCTGCCCAGGGAAGCTGTGGCTGCCCCATCCCTGGCAGTGTTGAAGGGCAGGTTGGATGGGGCTTGGAGCAGCCTGGGCTGGTGGGAGG